GTTTGACGTTTTTGAATTAACTGTGTTTGTGACGTCACAAAAAACCCAACACATTTACTTACATCCTCATATTCAGCCTACAGCAGTTTAGCTCCACCCACTCACACTGACGTTACAAGGGGAGGTTTAGCCCAGCCTGCCTTTAAATGAGGAAGAATTCAGGACAGCCAATCAGAACAAAATATATTCACGCATGTCAGTCTGAAAGGCAGGGTAATAAAAGCAGCCTGTTTAATTCTAAGACATAAAAAGAAGTTGGAAAATGGTCATGTAAAAATTATGGCTGTTTTTGGTAGATTTATGACACCCTTATAAGTAGACCCAAGAAATATGCAGGATATGGGCCCTTTAAAGGATGAATTAAAGAAATATTTTCCACTGCCACATTGGTTTTAAAAACAATTATATTACATGCAGACATATATTGATGTTACACACTCCGCATTCTGGCCTATCAAGACCAGACCAAACATTAGTCATTTATGAATGAATTGGTTACAGATGGCATTGATACTGCTTCACAAAGTGCAAGTAGTAAACCAGCATGCCAAACACCGTGATCTGCAAGTGTAATACTGTGCAGGACTGCTCTAAGAGTGGGTTTCCGCCATTTGGAAAGAAGTTTTTCAATGAATACTTAACCATCTCTCCATTCTGCTGTACTAGCCACATATAGTAGACCAAAGCTGCTACAGCTAACAGAGGACATTAAGACAGTCTGCCTGAAAGCATAACCAGCTGACAAATCAAGTTAAAAGCTGTGATGTTCCTTTAACTGGCAATATCCTTTTGGATTTCTCACTCAGCACTTAAAGGGTACTTCCACCTATCTTTCAAAATTTTGGCAGAATTATACGGTTGACATAAAAATTGTTCAGAGTGGTTTGGTGCAAAACGCTCCTTTGTATCACATTTTAAAAAGTTCTTTAAGGGTTCTTCAGTAAAGATAATGGTTCTATACAGAGCCATAAACACTCAAAGAACCCTTTGCATGATTAAAGGGTTCTTTGCATTGTGAAATGTTTCTTCATATTAATGAAGAATGTGCTATAGATGGCTCTATATAGAACCTTTTTGAAAAGGGTTCTATATATCACCAAAAGGGTTCTTCTATTGTAACATGCTTGACATTGGAGCAATATAAGAACATTTTTTGGTGCTATAGAGAACCATTTTCGAAAAGGTTCTATGTGAAACCATATACAACACATTCTCCAACAACCCGAAGAACACTTTTGCGATGCAAAGAACCCTTTAATCATGAAAAGGGTTCTCTGAGTGTTTATGGTTCAATACAGAACCATTTTCTTTACTAAAGAACCCTTGAAGCACCATTTTTTAAGAGTGTAGAGAAACTTACTGAGTCAGAATTGTTTAGAGTGGTGGTAAAGGAACCAGACTTCTGAAGTCTTCCATGCACAGAATGTTTTATATGAAACGGTTATGAAGACGCTGCGTAATGTCTGAAACACTGTTTTTATTCAAGTGTTGAGAAAGTTTTGGTCTAAGATACATTTGTACAAGCAATTTATGAACAAGATATACATGTAGAGTGTTGTGAGGCAAAATAGTCCCTGACTAAAACTTGTTTTTTCAGACTTATCACTATTTTACCATTGTCATCATTAAATATAAAAACTCAGAAGGACTGTAGGCTCACTGGTCATTTTAAACCACAAATAAAGTTGTGTTTTAGACATCCAGACCTCTAGTTCACCACCATTGTTAGATAATTTGTGTCAGCAGGTTTCTCTAGAAGGAACCATTTACAACTAAAAACTAATATGATTGAATTATGCTAAACGTTTTAAAATCAGTAAACTTTCCCTTCAACATTTGGGTTAAATCTGAAGGTTTAATTCATGAATATAAAGAGGAATTAAAAACAGTTGTTTCACTTTGTTCAGTAAAGCTGGCCTAGACGTCGCCTTCATCAGCACCAACACTGCAGCATCAGCATTTACAAAAGCCTAAACAAACGAAAACTGAAAGTGTCCTTTATATCAATTTAAAAAAATTTCTCAAATAATTTCTCGACATCCCATTAAGGTTCTCAGTTAATTGTATTAGTCTTTTAACAGCAATATCAATTTCAATTCTTTACTTTTTTATTTAGTGTCTTGTTTATTTGTTAAGACAAAACAGGCAGGAGTAAGTCAAAGTTGCAGCAAGCCACAAAGACGCTTAATGCAGAGTTTACAAGCTTAAGCTTAAAAAGAAGATGAGACCTTAAGACTAAATGAATAATAAATCAAGGGTGGTCTCAGACTTTTGCACAGTGCTCTAGTTCATGGAGCACATAGTGAATTTCAATAAATAGTGCTTCAATCTGTTTCATGAGGTTTCATGACCGTGTTATTTTACAAGGCTGTATTTTGGCAATGTTTTGCACTAACAGTTTGCCAAATAAATAAACCTATCCACTGCAGCAAAGAACAGATTAACTTTATCTTTTACTACACAACCATACATTTTCCAATACCAGCGTTTCCAATGGTGGGTTGTTACGTCTGTAGCCCTCTCCTGCGCTGCATGCTGTGGTGTTCTCTCTGCTGTAACACCTCTCTCTAACCTAATGAAAGTCTTCTTAATGAGCAGATCAGTTGAATCTGGAGGCTCATGCAGAGGAAACTGTACAATGTGCAGTGCGGGTGGGATCTCCAGGAGCAGAATTGGCAAGGACTACTAAAGAACACAACTCAAACATCCATCATCTTGTCGCTTGTGTCAATCGCCACTTACCATATTTATGTAGTTTATCCTTCAGCAATAATAGACAGCAACATAAATAACGGCCTCTGCATCATATACGCTAATCTTGCTTAGCCCACAGAATCAGTAACCAGTTACTTTTCATGCCAGACAGTTTTACAGCAGGACAAGTCCATTAAACAAAAATCCATCACTAATCTACGGCTACATTTCATCTGCAAGAATAACTATACACCTAAAAAAAAGATGGTTTTTCAAGCGTTCTTTAGTTACAAAAAAAAAAAAAGTTCCATATAGAACCATGAACACTCAAATAACCTTTTGCATGATTAAAGGGTTCTTTGCATCGTAAAAGCGTTTTTCAGATCGATGGATAATGTGCTGTGGATGGTTCTATATACAGCCTTTTTGAAAAGGGTTCTATATAGCATCAAAAAGGGTTCTTCTATTGATACAAGCTTGACTTCGTAACAATAGCAGAACCCTTTCTGGTGCTATATGGAACCATACACAACACCTTCTCCATCAATCTGAAGAACCATTTCACCATGCAAAGAACCACTTCAGTATGCAAATAGAACCATTAAGCACCTAAACAGAATCATTCCCTATAATAAAGAATCCTTGAAGAACCATCTTTTTTTTGTGTACAGTCTTTTGTTTTGAAATAAAATTAATACTTTTCTGACTGAATTAATGCTTTTCTGACCGAATCTTGACCTCAGTGCTGAAAACTGTAATGAACCTAAAAATATGAATATCATTACAGCCCTATTAGTTATATTGTTAGAGCCGTATATATATCGTTACCGCGCTACTAGTTATATCATTACAGCTCTCTCTCTCTCTCTCTCTCTCTCTATATATCTATATATATCTATATATATATATATCTATATATATATGTTATAGCCCAATATATCGTTACAGCCCTATTAGTTAATTGTTATAGCCCAATATATCATTACAGCCCTATTACTTTTACACATCATATATATATATGATGTGTAAAAGTAACACATATAACACATATATATATGTATATATATGTAAAAGTAACACATATAACACATATATATATATATATTGTTAGAGCCGTATATATATCGTTACCGCTCTACTAGTTATATCATTACAGCCCTATATATATTGTTTCAGTCCAATATATTGTTACAGCCCTATTAGTTAATTGTTACAGCCCAATATATCATTACAGCCCTATTAGTTTTACACATTATATATATATATATATTTTTTTTTTGTTATATATATATATATATATATATATATATATATATATTGTTAGAGCCCTATATATCATTACCGCTCTACTAGTTATATCATTACAGCCCTATATATATTGTTTTAGTCCAATATATCGTTACAGCCCTATTAGTTATCTCATTAAAGCCCTATATATTGTTACAGCCCTTTTTAGTTGTATTGTTACAGCCAGAGTACTATCATCGTTACAGCTCAATATATCATCACAGCCCCATTAGTTATATCACTATCATTATATATCACTATAGCCAGGTATATTGTTCCAGCCCTATTATTTATAATCGATAGAGCCCTATGTATTGTTTCAGCCCTATTATTTACATCTTTACAACCCTATATATTGTTACAGGCCTATTATCTATACCTTCTATATTATCTATCACAATACTTGCCAGCATGTTGTCAGCACATTTTTTAGTCACGCAGTGCAATTCTGACTAAGACGGACACTCAAAGCAGTTTGTGTTTTTCCCCTCACCAGCTAATTCTAAGGAAAATAAACTAAACTGCACATTTTGACACCTGACGCCCACAGATTTGATCGGCCCACCAAAATGCATCTTAAAATACACCTTAAATCTTAAATACACCTTAAACTCACCCAGCGCGCTGTTCCTTCACAGGTGTTGCTCTTTATGCAATATTTTAGGTCAACTTAAAGCAGCTGGTATAACTCTCTCTCTCTCTTTCTCACCTGCATGCACGAAAGGGCATCAATCAAAGTCTATTACACTCTCTACTATCCGTTACACATCCATTGTTCTGCTCCCACCACAAAGATTAAAAACAAATCTCATGAAAGATGGCACAAACTCCAAGTTATTACGCCTTCATCTGAATATTCACACTGTGCGTTCACATCTCTGACGCGGACCGCCTCACATTGCATCGCTGAATTCTCACCCAGCCAAAAAAATAATCAATAATAAATAAATAAAAACAAACCCTTCTCATATGCCAAAAAACTCAGAACTGCTGAAAATGAGAAATTAAAATATATTTACCTGAAATGCTTTTCCTTTTTTGCGCATATGAGAGTTACAAAGGGGGAAAAAATCTTTTTTTCTGTGAGAGGAAAGATGCAGTGTGCTTCCCCGCTGAGCTCCACCAGCCACTGGCAGAAGGCAGAGACTGGGAGTCACGTGACTTCGCTCCGCCACCTAGAGCTGCGTTCTTTTTATCCTACCCATATTACGGAAAGCTCCGCCCACACCGCGCCACGATTGGCTGTCGTCTCACGCCTCCTGTAGTCGAATTGGACGGCAGGGAGTGCATATTTGGGTTATGATTGGCTAATAGTTTAAACTCACAGTCCGATTGAGCGGACCGCGTGTGAATGTTAACTATCAGCCACTCCTGGCCCCGGAGGGCGGGGCTGGTCGGAAAACGGGTGGAAACATTAATAAAATACGCCTGTGAGGGGAGGTGCAGGACGCTGCGGATCACGTTTGGGCAATTTTTCACGAATTTAGCGTGTGAAATAAGGCACATAAAAGCACAAGGACGAAAGCAGAGCTGTAGGAGAGGACTTACTTAGAGCTGAAAAGTGAACTTTTACCCGAATTTCGCTCCTTTGACGTGATGTAAACAAACTTGTCCGTCGTCATCAACCAAACAGACATATCATAAATAATAAACAAACCAGACATATAAAACAGCATTTTTACGCTGGTTTTGGAGTCGCTGCCCTATGTGATGCCCTAATGCTCTGCCCAGCTTACTGACGTAGAAAACCACATTTAACGTGATCAAAAACAGGTGTGGAAAGGACAGAAATCATGGGGGCAGTTAATTAAATTAACAAGGGGCTGGTGAACAACAAAAAAAAGAAAAGAAAAACGAGGGGCTAAACGCTAAAGGCAAACTTGAGTGTCAGATGATTAAGAGACTGATTTTCGAGTTAAAAATGTGACGTTGGGATTAGCTGTAAGGAGGAAACAGTGAAAAGAGAGCCTGTCTGCTCATGTTAAGTAACAGAATACAGACTGTATGTGTGGGTGGGAGCGGTCTAACGGTACAAGATAGCTGACATTAAGTTATATGTAAAGAAGAGCTCCATAAAGTATTATGTTGTATACATACTGTTAATAGTTTCTACTTAAAGGGGTATTTTGGCCCAAAACTAGCCTTTAATATGCTACTTGTCTATGACTTTGTAAATCTCTCTGCACTCGCTGTCAGAGCCCGTGTAATGGGGGTCTCTTCCTATTCCCCCCGTTATATCAAACACAGGACTGCTAAACACCAGAGGGCGCCCGCAAGCGAGTCTTCAATGAATGCCTGCTAAAAACGAAAAGTTAAAATAGTTTTTAATCACTTGCCCAGAACTTTCCTTTAGTTTAGGAAGCAGGAGGATGTATTACGCTGAAAAAAACAAAGAAAACGTACCTGTATGTTTCCTTTTTTAAACAGCAAACGGGTTTTGGCGAGCAGGACGCCATCATTATGGCTACTGAGTGCTGATTGGTTGGCGAGTTTATTGGCTGCTCGCGCTCACTGACGTCATGGACGTACACGAGGCGCCGTGAAACTCCTATTTTAAATGCATTCAAAAATAAAACATCAGTGTTAAAATGTTTTATGTTATTCAGTGTTCATGATGTGAAATTATTGTATTCTTTTATATTAAAAATTTTTAAGCATTTTTAAACTATGATTTTGCTCAAATGCTCCATCTTATCCCTTTCATATCGGACTCGTTTGGGAGCGCCCTCTAGCGTTTGAGAAACATAGCAATCTGGCTTCCTTCTGCATTAGCCAGATAGCAAACACCTTCAACATACATCAGAAGGGCCTTTTCTTTAAGACCACTGTAGTAAGCAGGTAGGCACATTTACAGTAGATGTAGTGATGGTTAGAGTTCTCATTCTGGCCGGAGAGCCCCTTTAACGACAACAAGAAAGCTAGGCTGGCCGCTAAGAATTGATTGCAAGTCACAGTTATAAAGCCAATGCAAGTACATCTTAAAGGCCTAACATGCTTCATTTTTCCTGTACTTGATTTTCCCCTTTGGACAAATGAATTTTTATACTTAAAAAAGGCGTGATTCATTTTTACATGACCATTTCCCAAACACGCTTTATCCCTTAGAATTAAACAGGCTGTTGTTATTGTGTCTTTAAGACTGTTAAATGTCAATAAGCTTTGTTCTGATTGACTGTCCTCTATGGTGGCTCATTCAAGAAGCAGTCTGAGCTGAAACACTTCTTATAAGTTCCATGTGAATAGGTGGAGCCAAATTGTTGTAGGTTGAACAGACAGATAAATGCATTGTTTTTTGTGACATCACAAATACAGTGAATTCAAAATGGGCTTTCTTGCAGCTAAATTTCCATATATGGACTGGGGAGTGATATATTATGAACTTAAGACACTTGATACATCAAACTCTAATACGTTAAAACAGTGGGGGATTTTTTCCATGATACGGGTCCTTTAACTAACAATCGATCTGGCTCATTTCTTTCCCTGATGTATGTTTTATGTAGTATGTGATGCTGGTCCTGAAGCGCAAAATATTCTCCTCAACGTTTGTACACCTTATCTTAGAAAAAAAGCAAAACAGTCTATAATTGAAGACTCGGTCCCAATCCACAGAGCCCTTCACTGCAGGTTTAATGCATTTCCTGCTCCAGTACATTGGATTCAGCTCACTGGCTAGTAATTAAATCCTTCATGAGTTGTGGTTGGGAATTAGGAACATCTATGAGGGGAAAAACAGACACCTGTGGCAGCCGCAGGCCAAATTCAGGCTAGTGGAGAAGGTGAAGGTGGGACACAGGGGCATTTGATGTCAAAACCCAGAATCCTGTACAACATATGCAAATGAGATGCAAAATGTCCATGTGGCCAGGATTTTGAATGGACACTGGCAGAAATTCCCCTGAAAATTTGTTCATTAGGTATTCAGTTGCAGTTAAGAATTTCACAAGGTCACTTAACAACTGGCCACACTTGAAACAGTCCTGTTTTTTAAGAAATCTATGAATATGAGCTCAAATTGACAGGTTCACATAAGCATAAGTAAATATGCAATTATGATATACACTCATAATGTGATTAACCTGATTTTGCCAACAGGTGGCCACTGCAGAGGACTGTAAATAGGGAAAAAGCACTAAATGACACTATGTGACACTAAATGATCTTAAACGTTTTTTTCATTAAAATAGAGTTTGATGTAGTACCTAAGACATTGGGAAAGTTTCAGAACGCAGCTATCCTGTCTTTACAGTCCATATAGCAGCAAAAACAGCTTAGCCCATTATTTTTATGATGTCACAAAATCTGTGATATCTGCCCATTCAGCTTACAGCAGCTTAGCCCTGCCCAGTCATGCTGAAGTTATAAGGAGTGTTTCAGCCTGAACTGCTTTTTAAATGAGACACTATAAAAATAGAGCTCATTTACATTTAACATACTTAAAGGCAAAGTAACAAAAACAGGTTGTCCAACTGTGAAGGATAAAGAGAGGTTAGAAAATGGTCAGGTAAAAATTAATTATGGTTATTTTTGGTACATAAAATCCTAAAAATGTCATAAATGGACTTCACGTTATTGTGAAATATTGACTATTGTGCAATATTAAACCTCCAGTATAACATTAAATGTCATGTATGATGATTTGGAAATACCTGATTCTATTAGATATTTAAATTTCCAGCATGAAGGGAAGTGTGAATTAATTTGAACTCTTGAAGGTGTAACACTACGTTTATACTGTATTCATTACCATATTAGTTGTAATTTATTGGCTGTGAGAATCTTATGTTTGCATTTTATATGTCTCCCTTTCTTTGTCAAATCATTTGTTGTTTTTGTGGTTATTAGCCATGACCAAGATGGCAATTCAAAATCCCCTTTTTATGGACCAATAAAGCATAATCATAACCATATAACCATAAAGCTGTAATCCAGCTTCAGCAGCAGTCAGTGATCCCTACTGAACACAGGTTTCAGAAGCAGCACCATTCTTGCCATAGTCAAATAGATGTAACTGATATTTCACAGTTTTTTTGAGAATTTCTGACAGTATTTTGATGGCAATAAAAGAAATATGCTTGCATTTTTCAAGTGGATCTGTGGCACATAATTTCATAGTGATCCCCTGTATTTAGAAAAGAACAGAAACACCTATTTACTCAAACCACACTTATAATAGAGTTAGAAAAATGACAAAGTTCCCTTACTAAGTACAGAAAATCATGTCAAAATTACAGTGAAAATGTCAGTGAAAAGATACAGAGAAAATGGGACTCTTAACAGCAAGAGCTGGTGAACCACCAAAACTGTTTTCATCTTTGAGAGAAATCAAGCTCCATATTTGGTTTAGATCTGAAAAATGCAACCAACTTCTAAGACTGAACTTTGGATGTGTGGAAACATATCCCTGCAGATTTCTAAAACTAAAAGTGAGTCTCCTAAAAGGAACAGAAGTTGCAATGAATGTAAAGAGCGGACACACTAATACTGACCAAATGTAATATTATATTTAGTTGTTGAGACTGAACTTTGGAGGTGTGGAAAACTATCTGCAGATTCCTTTGAAAAACTGAAAGCAAGCAATATAGGTAAAGAGTGGACATTAAATACTATTTTGAGGCTTTAATATTATACGTGTTCATTTTCTGTTAAATATATGTTTTCTGCTTTATTCCTTATTCTGAAAAATAACTTACATAAGGGTTGAATGGATGAGTGGTCTCTGACTTTTGCCCTGCACTCTATATTGCCCAATAGATGATGTTTGAATGGAAATACAGCCAGTCCAATACTTTTACACCAACCAGTATTCACTCTAGATGTGTTTTCTGTTTTGAAGGTCCTCCCTTCTCTTTTCTCCTCACAGTAGCAGCTAATGTATGTGATGCTACACACAGATGACATGTTTTCACAAGTGCTCCATTATAACCACCTACTGATCGAATATGACATTAGTCTTAAGGCGTTTGTCACCTGCAAGTCGACTGGAAATTAACCTCGTCCTTACATTTTGTACACCAAGGCCTATACAGTCTTAACTATAAAGATTCCTTAGGTTCTTGGCTTGGATATACGGTTCCAGGAGAAACCATAACTTGCGTAAAGTCATTCAGAGTGGTTTGATGTGAAATGTACCATTCTAGAG